CGTAATGACAACAGGTGGGGGTCTCTTAGGAGTATCTCGGAATCCACATGTATATAAATATGTCAATGCATGCCTGTTCGTTTGTAATTTGACTTTATGCAACCATTATCAGGTTTATTTTAGGCCTATCGATTGATCCAGGTCATCTGTCACCACAAAGACTTCAATTACTTATGTACGGCTGGAGACTAGGAGACAATGTAAGACAAGGCCCGTCAACATGAAACGGGTAACATATACGTTTAACATATAGTCGCTAGGTCGCTGTCTCCTTGGCCTTAGAGAATACATTAGGAAAGAAAACCGACTCAAATATAGGATATTTAGACAAGTCTTAGATTGCCTTAGCTCTGAATAGTAGCATTGTTTTGGGGTAATTTTTTATTTGATTTTATATTTTGTAACCCCCCCCATTATTAAGATAATTATGTATATAAACAACGTTAGTTAAGATATTCTTCCTGTTCTTCTAGAATATTCTTCCTGTAACTTACACGACTATGGAGGTCGATTAATTTTAGTAGATGTTTAATTCGTTTATCGAATCGTTACCAACAGCTGACGTTACAATGTAGAAATAATTTAAACTGAACCTCGGTTCCGCTCACAAATACCCCACATTCTATTACGTGAAGATTTAGGTGACTATTTCATGTCCTAAACCTCTGCATGTACCAACTGCCCTTCAACGTAACGTGACAAGTTAATCCACAACTATTTTACTATCACCTACAAATATATGTTCTTCACGCTCTGATAAACATCCACACCCTTGTCACCTATTTTCCAATGTCAAGGGCCTTGCCTTTCTAAGTCAGAAATGCATATTTTGGGCATAATTCACTCTAAGTAGATCATGCTGTCACGTGACTAACTTGATGGTGACGGATACACCCGTGGAGTATTCTTTGTGACACGGTTTGGTAATTTCACTTGTGATCGGGAGGTTAGGGGATTCGCCATCATGGCAAAGGACGCTTTTTAACCTAGTTTTAACATTCAGCGTTCGGAGGTGCAAGCACAGTCATTGTTCAGGTAAGTGAAACGAAGATTGGTTCGAGAATTGTGGCATGAATTTGCATTCAGATTAGTGTGGATTTTTGGCACATGTTGGAGCATGTTATGGGTACCTGTGCAGATTTACAGAAGCAGGAAGTAATGAAGATGTTGTAATGGCTGAAGGAGTGTCTTTGTATGGTTCTATCACGTTGTTGTGTTACAAATGTAAGACTACACGTGGTAATTCTAGTGACAGAACCCTTCGAGTTGTACATAACTTGGCGCATTGTTCACACCTAACCTAGCATACCCACTAGTGAGTGAGTGAGTGAGTGAGTTTGGTTTTACGCCGCTTTTGGCAATATTCCAGCAATATCACGGCGAGGGACACCAGAAATGAGCTTCACACAATGTACCCATGTGGGGATTCGAACTCAGGTCTTCGGCGTGACGAGCGAACGCTTTAACCACTAGGCTACCCCACCGCCCCAGTATACCCACTAAGTAGATTGAACGTCTTATCGTCCTCGTCGTCGTCATCATCATCATAATCATCATCGTCATATTTTTTAATAAAGTTTGATGTTCCATTGAAATGTTTATCTACGTAATGTAGATCAAGGAGTTTTGATGCACTGATCGTTTCAAGATTGTCAACCTTTTGAAGTTGTTGTATAAGTGTTACAGTCCCCACTATTTCCTTGCTCATCGCCCTAAGCTCCATTTAGTTCATACGAACAGTATATAAGATACAGAGAAAAACAGAAAAAGATAGATTTGGTGTTTTTCATATTTCCACAACTAAAGATGCGACAAATTTCTAGTTGCGCCTATTTCGATGTAAGTCTTCAAGGCTATATCTGTAGGTTGTAAACGAATGTATTCTTGAGTTTAGCTGATTAATTGAAGTACATGTCATGTGACCAGTTTCGACATGAACATGACTTGTCACCCGGCACCTGGGTATTCCTGTCTCCCTTGGACACAATCGTCATTCATCACGGGAAGTAGAGCGTAATGAGGCTACGGTATTATCTTGGTCCAGGATATGTAACAGCTAATTCCGCTATATATAACACTGGTGTTACAGCGAGTGTAATGTACTATTTCACATTTATTGTACCTCCTTTTAACTATTTATGTTGATTGAAAGTCCGATATCCGAACGGGTTTCATTACTACTGATAACTATAGTGGTTTAACCCAATTCAAAGGGTTTTTCATCTGGTAGATCAGGTGTTTCTTCTAACAGTGATATACTGTAGATGTAGTAAAGCTATATGTTCACTACGAAATAGGATATTTTTCTTTCCTCTTATTTTGTCTTGCATTACACTCAATGCAGTTATTCCTACTTCAATGTGTCTCGAGGGCGGCAGGGTAGCCTAGTGGTTAAAGCGTTCTCTCGTCACGCCTATGACCCGGGTTCGAATCCCCACATGGGTACAATGTGTGAAACCCATTTCTGGTGTCCCCCACCGTGATATCGCTGAAATATTCATAAAAGCGGCGCAAAACCAAACTCACTCACCACTCACTCATTGACGTTTGACTTCAACTAATATATGGTGGTGTTAAATTAAACAAGTTTGCCACACAACAAATAGCGTGGATTGACTGACGAAGATTAAGGATTATGATGTCTGAGAAAATGCTACAAGATTAATAAGGTCAGATCGACGCTCGGCATTTGTCCCCACCCCATGATTAATCATAGCAATCAAACAATGTTACTCCCAGAGCATTGATGTTTATTGCCCCGTGATGTATTGCACTCACGTTATATACGTGTTACGTGCCACATACAGACAGCTCCGATTGACCAATGCTGAGTGTGTTGTAAATCAAGCGTGAGTCTATAATCAAAAATGGCCGCGAAATCGATGAACTCGCTGTTACACGTACTTTGTAGTTTCGATTCGTTGTTATGAGGCGGCTACAGAAAACCATGGTTACACAATACAGCCGATTTCTAACTGTTTGTGTCGTCTTCAAAGTCAACATGGTTTATGGTCGTGATTGTTGGTTTAAGACTTGTCGGAAACATGCAGAATATTCTGTTGCCATGGAAACGTTTGCAGCTATACACCAACAATTCAAGGAAACGTTAAGCTTTGTACGTTGATCAATACAGTTCTTGTCTGTGTAAAAGAGACATTTGACTTGCCTTTGCGTGTGTTTGTGACGGGCGGTTTTAGTAGTGAAGGATATGCTCAGCCTAATGGTTAAAGCGTTCGCTCGTCACGCCGAAGACCCGCGTTCGATTACCCATATGGGTACAATGTGTCAAACCCATTTCTGATGTCCCCCGCCGTGATATTGCTGGAATATTGCTAAAAGCGGCGTTAAACTAAACTCACTCACTCACGAACACCTGTTACCGTGACAAGTTGATGATGAATCATGAACAGGTGATTATGGTGTAATCGGAATCGTTATATGGAATTTGTTTTTAGCCGAGATTTATTATTATTATGGAACGGGTGTTGTAGCTTTAATTGATACATGTAGGCGTAGTAGGCACAGATGGTGGACTTCTGGCAGTGTTTACAAAACCGGGATGATGTTACCTGGATCATCTATTTGTCAGTATTAACAGATGCAAAATGAGGAACTCGGTATATGTTGCCTTACATAATGGATGATTGTGGATAGTTCTTCAGATGCTTTTGAAACAAGGTTGTCGTGCCCTTGTGTGTCAATGCAGTCGGATATGTGATCAGGTATTCTAAACATACACGAGCTATACCGTTTTATGCAACTAACTTACTTCATGGTCGACAGTTAACAAAGAAACACGTTAACAGTTACGGATTTTTACAGTCAATTGTGAATGAATCGATGTCAACAGATGGAACGCCGAGAACGTAACGTACATTCTCAGAATGATAAATAAGTGTTGTATGCGTCAATACACGTATGTCTCGGATGCGGGCGAAGCATACGAATTTTTATTACGTAATGGAGTGTGTTTGCGGTGCAATAAAGCAATCTGATAAACTTGGTATCCAAATCAGATAAACATGCAAATTAGGTCAATAAACGAACTACTTTCAAAAACTCCATACACGCCATGCGAATCCTAAAACGTTTACATGTCATTGATGGCGTCGTCGCGAGTTTAGTCACAACCATATGCCGCAGTCATGAACGACCTTCACATTGGTCTACCGCTAAGTATTCTTACGCGAATGCTCGAGTCTCTATATATAAATTCACGTACGATTTGCTTGTGTTTTTTGAGTAATTTTAAGAATGACATTATATGATATGCAAGCCTTTGACGAACATAATACATATTTTTTAATTCCTAATAAATGATACGATACGAGGTTAATAATCTCTATATAACACTCAAGTAAAGCTTTAAGGGCCCCCATGTGTTCTTTTATTGTGAAGATCCAGGCTAGAAATGGACCTCAGCAACCCATGCTTGGGTGGTCAGACTCGCTGACTTGGTTGACACACGTCATCGTATGTCACCCGTGAAGATCCGGGGTAGAATAGGTCTTCAGCAACCCATGCTTGCCACAAAAGGCGACTATGCTTGTCGTAAGAGGCGACTAACGGGATCGGGTGGTCAGGCTCGCTGACTTGGTTGACACATGTCATCGGTTCCGAATTGCGCAGATCGATGTTCATGCTGTTGATCACTGGATTGTCTGGTCCCGACTCGATTATTTACCGACCGCCGCCATATAGCTGGAATATTGCTGAGTGCGTAAAACTCAACTCACTCACTCACTCACTCATCGTATGTCAGACAGCCGCTGCCTTTTAGCTGGAATATTGGAGAAAACGGCCTTACACAACAAACAAACAGATGTTATTGTTGTAATTTTGAATTGTTATATCATCATTTTGGTAGAATTTGTTCTTCACAAAACACTATGTGTTTGGATTATGTCCTACCTGTGAATTATTGTTCAGTTTTGTGCCATTAAACATGTCCTTGAAATCGACATTCGCTGTAAAAAAAATATCAGTTTTGAATTTTGCAATGTTTCAGAGGAACCCATCATGGAAATCCAGTGTGTTTACAGCCTTGTTGCAATCTGCCTGTTATCAGCAAATGTATATGGTAAGTTGCTTCAAAATTCATCCCCGGTCGTTTGTAGTAAAGAAACGATGTAAACACAAACCTCTGGAATTAAATGAATTCTAAATTATGCAACTCATACTAAGCTAAGGACCACCTGATTCTTTCATATTACAATGATTAACCTGTCCTCGTATGACAGATTAATCATTATAATAATACGAATAAATAAGATCGTCTTTAATTTCTTTTGAGTAGTTTACTGGACTCATTACAGGCTTAAAAACATGTATAATATATGAAATATTATGCAGAACAAAGATTAACGTGAAGCTGTTTAGAGGCGTAGTAACCTGTGTAGGCTACCCGTGAAGATCCGGGTTAGAATTGATCTTCAGCAATGCATGCTTGTCGTAAGAGGCGACTAACGGAATCGGGTGGTCAGGCTCTCTGACCTGGTTAACACATGGCATCGTATCCCAATTGCGTAGATCGATGCTCATGATGTTGATCACTGGATTGTCTTGCCCACACCTGATTATTTACAGACCCCAGCTGTATGGCTGGAATACTGCTTAGTGCGGAACAAAACAAAGAAATTGGTGTAGGAACGCTTCCATTGAATCATTTTCAAACCTACTTGTACTGCTGCTTGAACACTTCTGATTCCGGTAGGCTGTGCATGAATGCATTATTCAATTGCCTCTACACAGCATCTACAACAACCGCTACTCCATCGTCACAAGGGGTTACAAACACAGCGGCATCATCGACGGTGGAGGCGGCGTCTAGTTCAGCAGCTCCAACCAGCAGTTCCATAGCAGCAGCAACGTCAACGCCACCACCGTCTTCTAGTGCAGATGCCAGTAAGTCGTTACTAAACCCTTCCTTTTGTCACCTGTCTAGTGAACATATACTATAACAGTAGGGATATTCCATTTTGGGATGATATTTAACTCAATAGATCATAGCACATTGTTCACATTCGAACGTCAAGGTGAAGATCATCTGTTCTTGATATCTTGTCTGGCTTCCATGAGAGTCCAAAACTGCCTGGCATCGTCGACCCATATGGAACCGAAGAGATTGAGTGCCATAGCAGCATTTGGATGTTGTGGTTCCTCAAAAAGGCCGTTGTCAGTGTTGTCGTGTGATGGCGACCCACATCATTACACACCGACACCATTTTCTGTAAACAGTTTCGAGCCGTTACGTTCCCCACGAAGTCTGTAAACATGACGTCTTCGGTCTGTACGCAGCAGCAAAAACGTGACACGTGTCCATCGCTGCTTTGGCCATACTATCCTTGACACAATTGAGTGAGTGAGTTTATTTTGACACAATTGACGTCGCAGTCGACGATGCTGACCAGTAGAATGACGCCTCCTACTGGTTGTCTGGGAGGAATATCTGCGGTAGACGGTTCCTCACTGTCTGAGCAGAACTCCTGGCATTGCTGTAGCTGTACAGCTGGTTGTAGTGTCACGTAACTGACGAACCCATATAAACCTGTCCTGTGTTATGAATTTCCTGCAATCGTTCTTAATGATGTGCATGTGAGCCTGGTTGGGTAAAAATTCGAAATTTATAGTGAAGTGAGTCAGTGTGTTGCTGTACATTTCAATGATATGAACGTCAGACAAATGAGGTCGTTGACAGACGTATATATGGTCGACCAAAGGCGACAGCTCACGCTCATTATCGTATCATCTGAACGAGCGTTACGAAACCGTGGTCAAAGTTGCTTCTCAATTTGGAAATGAGCTTCACAGAGATAGGGGTTTTAGAGTAAGTGGACAGATGATTCGTAATCCTCTACACAGTTGGAGCCTGCATGTGTCCGACGTTATGTCAGGAATCAAGCTTAATTTGGGGCTTCCGAGTGTGGCGTGGACGGAATGAGCGTTTCCACGGGATTAACGTTACTGGACGGAAAGATCGTTTTGGGGATGGATTAGTACTAGTGTTGGGTGGGAGCGTTTTGTTACTCAGTACCTCCAACCAGAGACCATATAATAGATTCTATTATATGGTCTCTGCTCCAACAGGGGAACAAAACGTCTTACCACGGCCAGCGCTCAGTCCAGACTTGTCACCCATCGAGCAGGTCTCGGATATATTTGGACGGCACTTACATCGCCGTCAATAACCACCGACCACCTCCTCCGAGCTCGGCGCTGCCCTGAAAGAAGAATGGGTTGGAATGAACCAAACTGACATTGTCTTTAGAATAGATTCACGCGATATTAATGTGTTTGACTTTTCATGGTAAGTAGGCCAACCAATAATAATAATAATGTGTCCATTTATATAGCGCCAAACTCCACACTAGGTATGCTCATAGCGCTAACTATCAATAGCACTGCACATTATTACCTCGGATATCCCAAGCTGCCTGTTAGGCACTAGAAAGTTATAGTTACATGACTTTTTTCCACCGGGTACCCATTTTCCTGCTGGGTGAACAGAGGCAATTATAAAAAATCTCACGTGCCTAAGGTGAGACCACATGTAACCATGTTACAAAATCTGTTGTCATCAGCGACAAATGCAAATGTCATATAGCAAATCCCCTCTTCAAAGAGTTTATGAATCAGGTGGGACGTTACTGAAAGACGGAGAACTGTGTCAGCTTTCAGTTGCTTCAAGCATTTAGCATCTTCGCCACCTTAGTAGATTCTATAACCAGTAATACTAAATTTGAAAGATGTATTTGCTCTGAGCTACTTAAATCTGTTGTTTTAGGTGCATCATCGACGTCTGTGGCAAGTCCTACGACTTCTCCTGCAGCAACATCCAGCAATGTCTCGGTCTCAACTGAGACGTCTCCGGTTACCTCCCCTGGTCCAACAGACAGTTCCCCAGTTGCTACGGCCCCTAGTTCAACGTCTAACACGTCGAGTACCCCAGTTGCTACCTCTCCGAGCTCAACGCCCGTCTCCTCTGCAAGCTCCGTGGCGACCTCACCTGAATCAGTGGACACATCCACGGTCACACAACCACCAGTATCAGCATCAGCTTTACCTACAACATCTCCATCAGCTTCGGCATCATCATCAGCCCCAGCATCAGCATCTCCATCAGCATCAGCATCTCCATCAGCTTCAGCATCTCCATCAGCTTCAGCATCAGCATCTCCATCAGCTTCAAGTTCAGCATCTCCATCAGCTTCAGCATCTCCTGACACAGGCAATGCAAGTTCCACACCAAGTCCGACACCAACTGCCGAATCTAGTAACGACTCATCAGTTGAAAGTTCACCCACCAGCCCGTCCAGCCCATCAGCAAGTCCCGAGTCCAACACGTCCGCAACTCCTGTTGAAGGAAGCACTGGAGGAGTTACAAGCGCTGGACCAGATTCTACTACATCGGACGCATCTTCCCCAGCAGCTTCAGCTTCTCCCTCGTCGACAGATTCTTCCGCGTCTTCCCAGCCAACGCCCTCTGTGGAATCGACAGCAGCAACGACACCTGCCCCTCCCGTGGAAACAACGCAGCCTCCGTTGAGCACATCATTCCCTTCCTTCTCTGCAAAAACAGGTGAGTCCGTGATGTGTCCAATCCCGTTTCAGGTCAAATTCGTACCCCGATGCGGTAACTCTGAGTAAAGATATCAGGATTCATCCGAAGGTTGCGTCAAATGTAACCGAGGAATTCCGAATGCAAAATGATAAAGCGGCGTCGCATTGTACCCCGTCATTATAATATGTTATTGTGGATAATTCTCAATGACACTCAAAAGGTTCAACTACCGAGGATATATGTGCTCTTCTGCAATTTCTGATTCAGGTTTCATAACATTGTTTCTGTATATCGTAGATGTGGCCAGGTGTCATGTGGGAAATATCATTGTTCATGTATATCGTGGATGTAGCCAGGTGTCATGCGTGAAATATAATTGTTCATGTATTTCGTAGATGTGGCCAGGTGTCATGTGGGAAATATCATTGTTCATGTATATCGTAGATGTGGCCAGGTGTCATGTGGGAAATAACACTGTTCATGTATATCGTGGATGTAGTCAGGTGTCATGTGAGAAATAACACTGTTCATGTATATCGTAGATGTGGCCAGGTGTCATGTGGGAAATATCATTGTTCATGTATATCGTAGATGTGGCCAGGTGTCATGTGGGAAATAACACTGTTCATGTATATCGTAGATGTGGCCAGGTGTCATGCGTGAAATATCATTGTTCATGTATATCGTGGATGTAGCCAGGTGTCATGCGTGAAATATCATTGTTCATGTATATCGTAGATGTGGCCAGGTGTCATGTGGGAAATATCATTGTTCATGTATATCGTAGATGTGGCCAGGTGTCATGTGGGAAATAACACTGTTCATGTATATCGTAGATGTAGCCAGGTGTCATGCGTGAAATATAATTGTTCATGTATATCGTAGATGTGGCCAGGTGTCATGTGGGAAATAACACTATGTATATCGTAGATGTAGCCAGGTGTCATGCGTGAAATATCATTGTTTATGTATATCGTAGATGTAGCCAGGTGTCATGTGGGAAATATCATTGTTCATGTATATCGTAGATGTGGCCAGGTGTCATGTGGGAAATAACACTGTTCATGTATATCGTAGATGTGGCCAGGTGTCATGCGTGAAATATAATTGTTCATGTATATCGTAGATGTCCAGGTGTCATGCGTGAAATGTATATCGTAGATGTGGCAAGGTGTCATGTGGGAAATAACACTATGTATATCGTAGATGTAGCCAGGTGTCATGCGTGAACTATCACTGTTCATGTATATCGTGGATGTAGCCAGGTGTCATGCGTGAAATATCATTGTTCATGTATATCGTAGATGTGGCCAGGTGCCATGTGGGAAATAACACTGTTCATGTATATCGTAGATGTGGCCAGGTGTCATGTGTGAAATATCATTGTTCATGTATATCGTGGATGTAGCCAGGTGTCATGCGTGAAATATCATTGTTCATGTATATCGTAGATGTAGCCAGGTGTCATGCGTGAAATATCATTGTTCATGTATATCGTAGATGTGGCCAGGTGTCATGTGGGAAATAACACTGTTCATGTATATCGTAGATGTGGCCAGGTGTCATGCGTGAAATATCATTGTTCATGTATATCGTAGATGTAGCCAGGTGTCATGTGGGAAATAACACTATGTATATCGTAGATGTAGCCAGGTGTCATGCGTGAAATATCATTGTGTATATCGTAGATGTGGCCAGGTGTCATGTGGGAAATAACACTATGTATATCGTAGATGTAGCCAGGTATCATGTGGGAAATAACACTGTTCATGTATATCGTAGATGTGGCCAGGTGTCATGCGTGAAATATCATTGTTCATGTATATCGTAGATGTGGCCAGGTATCAGCTGCCCCTTGTGTTCACCGGTGACAACAACGGCCCGACAACGTCCTGCAACGACACAGCATTACAGTCTGAGGTATTACACATGACAAGCTTAAATCATTGCTGTGATTCCCGTCCAAGTAGATAAATATTAGTTATGAATAACTCTTACGGAGTTGATGGAGACGGATGGAGGCTGTTACAAATCGAAAACGGAAGATTTGTGTTTATATTGTTGATCACGTGTTAGTATAATCATTATTATATAACAATTTATATTTGATTCAATTTAATCTATAAGTCCTTTCAAATTCAGCTTGAGGACAAATTAAAAACAACGGACGGCTACTCTGAAATACTTCGCACTTCGTGAGTATTTGAAGATTTCAGTTAACCAAATACGTTAAGTTAAAATACGTATTTAATTGATAACGTAACTTAGTTGTTGTTTAACGCCCCACTCAGCAGTATTCCACTTATATGACAGCGGTCTGTGAATAATCGAGTTCTGGAAAAGAACATCCAATGATTGACATCATAAACATCGATCTATTCAATTGTAATACGAGTTACGTTAATCAAGTCAGCAAGCCAGACCACCCGGTCCAGATCCAGATCTCACCTACACCTCAGTTAAACGCCCTGTCTTCGTGGGGAATGAGTGAGTTTTGTAATACGCGGCTTTTAGCAATATTCCAGCAATACCACGGCGGGGGACACCAGAAATGGGCTTCACACATTGTACCCATATGGGGTATCGAACCCGGGTCTTCGGCGTGTGGCTAACCACTAGGCTACCCCACCGTCCCTCTCCATGGGGAAATAGCTAACTAACCTTAAATTTATGTAATACTTCACTTGTCCCATCACCAGGACAGTCCAGCGGGGTGGTCAGGTAGCCTAGTGGTTAAAGTGTTCTTTGGTCACTCCAAAGAGACAGGTTCGATGCCATTTATGGGTTCAATGTGTTAAACCTCCTTTCTTGCCTCCCAGCAATGAATTAGATGGAATATTGCTAAGAGCAGCGTGGAAATACTCTTTCACCGACTGACTGACTGACCGACCGAACCACTCACTCACTCACTCAAACGTTTTCAGAAACAAGAAGTTCTCGGCGATCTATAAGGCAAAACAACTTTATGGTAAGATGGCAAATGCTACAACAAAACAACTTGAGGATGCCTTGTCTGCAAACCCCAGCTGTTTCAACTACACCGCGTTTAATGACAGTTTTCAACAATCTTTTGGAACATGTGAGTATTGCCGGTGAATGGCATTATTTTATGTACGCTTCATTACGGTCTACAAAGCGAACCTAAGGAAAAGACAGGGGAAGTAACTCTTGAACCACTAGTTCCTCGACATGTTGGCCTGTGGCAGTATTGGGATTGTTTCGTCGAAGAAGTGGTGAAAGGGGCCCATCAGCGTAGAGGGTTTAAGTTGTGTCTATCGTTCAACAGACTGGTTCTATTCACACGTTTCCTTTGGGATCTTTTTTATATATTGGGGTCCATCTTGTATATTTTATGACTGAAACACTTCTGTAGCCTTGACTTTTAGGGAATCCTAATAGCAATACCGTAGGTTAAACATTAGACCGTAATTAAGCAATTGTAATTGTAATTATACAGACGATTGACTAGTGTAAATGGCAGCCATGTTGGAAAATGATCGTGATTGTCTAATCCGGTATCCTGTATAAACTGGCATTTTATTTCGGTCCCGTGGGGTGCCGGTTTAGACAGGTTTCACTGTATTTGTAAGTAATCATGCACGTTCCAGGCTAGTTAGCGTTTTCCACAAGCAATGATCCCCGCTACATTTATAAAATATAGTTACACAAAGAAAATCAGGTTCATTTAACATGATATACACATTACTTATATATTACAAAAATGTTACAATATTACTGTTACAACGCCCGGCCTTCCTTAGGATGCCTCCACCTGAATTAGTGACCCAAGAAGCACTGAACCCAACCGACGCTCTTGAATCGTAGATACATTTTAGCGAGAAGGCAATATGTGCTCATTCGTCACCACTCGCCCCTTTCCGTAACCTGCAGGAAGATTCGGCTTGTCACGGAATTACACGAGTTGGTCACGAATGAATATGTGGTATGAAAATGTCCGCCCTACGTGACCTTAACTTCTTAAACCTTCTTGTTCGCCACCGATTGAATTTCCGAATTTTTTGTATGGTAGGAAGTTCCATAATGTGAATGATTTTACCGCCGCTTTGGACACTAATTTGAAGTTGTATCGCAAATATGCTTTCCAGCTAAAATGAAATAAAGTAATAAAGTCTCAGACTTTTAGAGATGTCCATGAGCAATGGTCTAGTGCTGACAAAACCTAGCAACTTAATGCTGATATAGACTTAACACTAAGAAAGATAGGGATTCGAACCATGATCAAAGGTTTCTGGTGTGCCAAAGCTTGCATAGCTGCGATTTATTTAAAACGATGGAGTGGTGTTTGTCGTTTTTCCTGGCGTTGTAACAAACAAACAAACATTTCTGTCTGCTGGTAGTCGCTGCTTTGACGGATGACTATTGCAAGGCCGATGAAATCTGCAACACGGGCTATACGTGCAAGGACCGGAAGGGCTCCCCTCTCTGCATCAGCATGTGCGAGGACCATGCATGCCAGAACGACGGAGTATGTGTCGTCGTCGTCAAAGAGGATGGTCAAGCTGCTGCACAGTGCAGGTATTGTAGTGATTATTTTTCTGAAAAATAAAATTTACTCTTAAAAGGTCTCCAAGAATACGAATAAAATGTCAAACAGTTTCAGTATGGAGGCTGATTAGGGCCATCGCTTTCTCGCCTTAAAATTCGGAGGCGAGAAAGCGAGAAAGCGATGTCCCCTAATCAGCCACCATATTTAAGCTTGTTCAATAGTGTCTGTAGTCTGTCTCACAGTCCATGAGGGCGGTGGGGTAGCCTAGTGGTTAAAGCGTTTGCTCGTCATGCTGAAGACCCGGGTTCGATTCCCGACAAGGGTACAATGTGTGAAGCCAGTTTCTGGTGTCCCCAGCCGTGATATTGCTGGAATATTGCTAAAAGCGGCGTAAAACCATACTCACTCACAGTCCCTGAACCTATTGCCTAGCCCTCCCTGCAGTGCTAAAGCCCTAATTATAGCCAGTCTAGATTTCATCAAGTTTTCACTGGTACTCCTTTTCAATTAAATGGGTTTAATAGTTACTAACAAAATGAATATTCAGACACAAAGCGTTAGATTATGGTGTCTGGTGTTGATTACATTTTTTTTTTTCCCGGAATTCATACGAGTGAATATTCTTGGGTTTAATGTCGTTTTGAGATGCGGTGTAGTGTTATTACTAAGTAGGTGTGGTGCGTGCGTGCGTGCGTGCGTGCGTGCGTGCGTGCGTGCGTGCGTGTGTGTGTGTGTCATTCCCAAATCCCAAAGTGACGTCGTAGAGATGGTAGAATGATGTTCATGTGCGGTAGAATAGTCCATTAGTTAAAGCGCTCGCTGGTCAACCCAAAGCCCGGAGTTCGTTGCCCCACATGGGTACAATGAGTGAAGCCAATTTCTGGTGCACCCCGTCAGCGTTTTAGTAAATGCGACATAAATATTCATTCATTTTTGCGTATTTCAGGTGCACAGATAACAATGAGCAGGTGTTTTCCGGAACCAAGTGTGAAGTAGCGCGTATGAACCCCGACCGTGTTGCTGCCATCGTCGGGGCCGTGTTAGGAGCATTCTGTTTCATCCTACTAGTGGCACTATACTGCATGTGCTACAGGAAGCGGGAACGGTCAGGGCAGAAATAGTAAGTGCTTCTTGAACACGTGTGGTTGTTACTCTCCTTCTTGCCAATGTCGATCTACCTTATGATATACCCGTGTCTGTACCCTATATTGGTGATGGAGTCCTGGAAGGGTGTCTGTGTAAGCGAATGTGGGACCTTGGTTGAATGATGTCTTATCGGGGTATATGTGATTGTGGGGAAACTGGGATCGCTGAAATTGTTGCGAAGGTTGAAGGGTTGTCTTGCGCAAATTATATGCACGATCTTTACTCCCCATCAAAAGTTTAGACTCACTATTGTAAATGTAGCCACTTACGTACGTCAACTCTTCTAAACTAGATTTTGCAAAATTTTCCATACTGTCTTAAGGTACTGTTTACACATGAACTGATGTATTGTAAAACAAATGATCCGTAACGTTGAAAAGATTGTCATGGGTTAAAAAAATGATGAAACTGAGTGAAAATTAGCGAATTTCTAACAAAACTTTACACCACAACACAGCTGTTCACATGCACGATATTTGCACATGCTTTTTATCAATTTAATGCATGATCCTCGTGCAATTCATCTGCATAAAGTTTGCAGTTCTTTCCCCAAAGTTAGTGGATAAATTCATCTTCGATGTAACCACACATATATGTATAACATATAGTGAGTGCCTTAAGTGAGTCTACAACTTTTGATGGGTAGTATATTATACGATATGACATTTGACAAATTCATGGATAAAAAGATCCATAAGGAAACCTTCCTGGAAAATCATGATTGTGTATATGTTCCCTCGCATCATTGATCAAACGCTAAATATTACCTAAAATGTTAAAAAATCAAATTTACGAAGAGTACATTATTGGTTTCGAAAGCGTAAACCCTTCTTCAAGAATGAAATCGTACCACTATTTAGGCGATACAGAGTTACCGCCCTTACATCGTTAATATTAACGCTGATGGCAAAGTACAAACGGATTTTGCTCTGGGCGCTTTGGAATAGGACTTCCAATCTCCCGTGAAATGTTAATCCTAAGTCCCACCCAACCATGAGTATTATGATAAATAGTGCTGTATAGCGTGTGATACGACACACCCTACATACCGGCGTGTCCTTCACCCGAGCTCACATTGCCAGTATGGGGTATAGACGCCATTCATAAAGCTATGACTCTCTTCTCATCTTTGATGCTGAATTTCTGCATTTAGATAGTAGTAATACACGAATTTAATTTATAAAACATTCATTTATAAAATATTGTTATATATCAAATGGATATTGATAATGCATAAAGCCCTGAATCGTAACCACGTTATTTAAGTTATGCATTCTTTTAACCTTTTTTTCACAAAGAGTAAAATTATAGTAAATTAAAGTATGTTTGAAATCTTTTGCAAGATAATTCATAAGTGGAGAAGTATTTAAATGACTCTTGCCATCTGTCATATTTTGTGACGTCATGTTACCGTGGTGATGGCGTTGCTAGGTGACGCTTGCTATGCTTGCCGACATCCTGAGCGTTGTGTTTCTCTTTCAGTAATCTTTCTGGTGTATATAACGAAACCTATGAAAGGTCATCTCTTGACATGAAGAATTTGTAGAATATATAATATCAATGGTAAGTATTCCACGAAGAACTCGTCAAGATCCGCGAAGAATAGCCTTCACCAACCCATGCTTATCGTAAGAGATAGCCTAGAGGTTAAAGCGTTGGCTTGTCAAGCCTAAGACCCGGGTTCGATTCTCCACATGGGTACAATGTCTGAAGCCCATTTTTGGTGTCCCCCGCTGTGATATTGCTGGAATATTGCTAAAGTGGCGTAAAACCATACTCACTCACTCACTCAATATGTCAGCGTGATGTGTGAGGGAAATCTATTGATTCGTTTACAATTTCGAGATACCCCCGAAAACGTGAATGGTGCTGACCAACCTACAGCCAAACGTGGAATACCAAGATTCGAACCCATGGGTATAGATTTTTGACACGTGTAAAAACCTCACTGTTTGACAATTACAAATGTATGTATTAACAAAGCCTTTTTAAAAAAGGTACAAAATGCTATGTACACGTTGGGATATACCCGTGAAGATCCGGCTTAGACTTTATCTTCAGTAACCCATGCTTGTCGTAAGAGGCGACTAACGGGATCGGGTGGTCAGGCTCGCTGACTCGGTTGACACATGTCATCGGTTCCCAATTGCGTAGATCGATGCTCATGCTGTTGATCACTGTATTGTCTGGTCTAGACTCGATTATTTACAGGTCGCCGCCATGTAGTTGGAATATTTCTGTGTCCGGCGTTAAACAACAATCAACCAATCCAAGGTTCGGGATGTGCACATTTCTATAGAATTTAGCTTTAGCTGTCAAATCTATATGTATGTGTATAGTGAGGAGGTCAGGACCGGAGAATAGGTTCGAGATATCGGGAACTCGAGATAACGGGGTCACATGCATTTGTGGTACAGCAGTACCGCACCAACGCCTTCAAATTAAACAATAGTAATATTGCAATACTCGCATAAATTAACGCAACGTTCTTGTAGACTTTTATGGATTTAGTGACGCATGCAAGGTTTGCTATACCGCTTTCAGGGGCGGTTTGGTAGCCTAGTGGTTAAAGCGTTCGCTCGTCACGTTGAAGACCCGGGTTCGATTCCCCACATGGGCACAATGTGTGAAGCTCATTTCTGGTGTCCCTTGCCGCGATATTGCTGGAATATTGCTAAAAGCTGCGTAAAACTAAATTCACTCACTCACTATACCGCTTTCCTTGGTTCAATAACTACGGTTTATAACGAACACACTTGTAACGAACTCACGGATATGTCGAACTTTTTAAAAGTCCAGTTCACTTGCTTCGCATAGTCGAAATAAAATGCGCATAACGAGCTATGGTTACAACTAAAATCACTTTGAGTTCGTTATAACCGTAGTAGATTGTATAATTGTGTTCTTGGAAGGCGGGAGGCAAACTCGAAAGGCACATCAGCAAATTTCCCATGCCCTACACAAACCTATACTAATTACCAAATGAAGGTCAATGCTACTCAAATGACTCATCTAAATAATCGACAAACGAAACAACAACAAAACACAGAAAGAATCTTATTAATCCAAACGCATCATTGAAAATTAAAAAAACGCAAAATAAATTACAAAACAAAAACACTGTTTGTCTTGTTTCTGGTCTACTTGCGCATCCACATGTAAATAAAAATATTTTAAAACACGTATTTCCCATGAAAACGTTCTTAAAAAAGTAATATTCCTATTGTCAATTATAAAATCATCTCTGATAAAGAACGACCTATGTTGACAATCATGTGGAACCGCGAGACGTGGGAACGTGTCAGTGTCGAAAGCCCGTCATATCTCTACCCAACATAATAGCAGTTTATGAGAACACGAGCGTTTTCATGAAGACCCCCCATCAAAAGGCTGAACTGGGCGTTGCCTCATAACGTTGTAAGCATGTCTCTTTCCCATTGATACTCTTGTCGCTGCGGAGAAACATGCTATTCAGACAAATTGACCTCGATGAGTCTGTTCGTGCTGATGGCATACATAGAGTGCGTCTTTTCAGGGATAACATTGAAAGTAACCTTTTTTATTGAGTGTATATGATAACCTTTTAAGGGATTACATGTATATGCTGCTTGTATGGGAACGTATATAATTTCTATTACACTCATTATTTCTATTACACTAAGGGTATTTTTACCCCTGTAGGCAGTTTAAAGTGACAGCTTCGCATACCGTGTCGTCTTTATAGGAAACTCAAACACACATTAATTCTCAAATGCTGGGGTGCAGTCTTTCGGGTAGTTTAATTTTCTTTCTTAAGGATGAGTGAGTGAGTGAGTTTAGTTTTACGCCGCCAGCAGTATCACGGCGGGGAACACCAGAAATGCACTTCACACGGTGTACCTATAGTCTGTTTGAAGTGAAAACGTAATTTAACTTTAAACAAAAAAGTAAATCAAATAACGTGAAATTAAGATTGCGAATCCTCATAATTTTACCTTGCCAATTGGAACTTTTAAATCTCAGAAATTTATTCAGCTTAGGATGAAAGTTGTTTAACAAACGATCATAGTTTCAAATCGCTATTATTGGTTTGTATTACAAGGGGGTATGCGCAGTAGTTGGAACAGGGAAACAAATGGACGTGCGGTGCGTGATGAGTGTTAACTTATACTACCGTAGAAACCAACCCTTCTTGTTCTCGGCATTTCATTTAATGTGCATACCCCCTTGTAATACAAACCAATAATAGCGATTTGAACCTATGATCGTTTGTTAAACAGCTTTTATCCTAAGTTAGATAAAATTCTGAGATTTAAAAGTTCAATTGGCAAGGTAAAATTATGAGGATTCGCAATCTTAATTTCACTTTATTTGATTTACTGTTTTGTTTAAAGTGAAATTCATCGGTACGTTTTCACTGCAAACGGACTATAAGTGGAGAATGGAACCCGGATCTTTGGCCTGACTAAAGTAATACAACCTCACTTAATTACTCATATCTTTAAGAAACTTCATCACGCATTCCTTGACATTAAATAAAGTGTCATATTGAACTACACAAAATGTTAACGTTTGATTTCTTTGCTTGGTTATTTCTTGTTAAATCGTCTTTCTATCGCCGCCATACTTCAAGCCACACTGAAACACTCAATGGGAGTTGGTATATTGATATATGTTCAACAAGGCCGTCGTGTACTGATGTGCTTTTGGTATGTTAAAATTCACTGTTAGATGAAGCGAGTCAACTGCATTGACAGCTGGGTGACCATGTGTACATTAAATGTATGATAAAATAACGGACGTCAGCCTATATATCATGCACAGTGCATTCTGACGCACATACTTGGATAGCATGTGTTGGGGGGATGGTCGCATACATGTGGTAAACTTATTGTAAGAAATAGCAGAGACATCAATGACGGTATTGCAGGGAGCGGCTCGGATCGATGGCGTATTTCTGTGATCCCGCTCAAACATGCGGACATTTATTGTGCAGATCGACTGGATATCAACCGGGTAATGTTAGGGTGCTACTTAAATGTAAGAGCGTTATTTCGAAAAACAGCTTAGTCATCGTGAGATTGTTTTAGACCAAAGTACTGACAGTAATATTGTAAAGACCTTTACTGATATCACAAGCAATTTATACTGTTGTCAGTGCAGGTACGGGGCGGTGGGGTAGCCTAGTGGTTAAAGCGTTCGCTGGTCGCGCCGAAGACCCGGGTTCGATTCCCTACAGGGGTACAATGTGTGGAGCCCATTTCTGGTGTCTTCCGATGTGGTGTTGCAGGAATATTGCAAAAAGCGGCGTAAAACTAAACTCACTCATTCAGTGGAGGTACCGAAAACTACGTTTATAACGAACTGACGGATATAACGAACTCATACTTTTGTTCTAGACACTTACTGCATATTTCAGTCGAAATGTATATTACCTACTACGGTTATCACGAGCTAATTTAATGGTGCCTTTGAGTTCGTCATAGCCGTAGTTTACTGTTTATAGCTTTTCATACAGTGCTTAATATATTCTGTCCCATCTATTTCAGTTCCCACGCAGATTTTACAGACTTGTCCATGACAACACACCACTAACTACGACGTCAACAGCAAACCACGTCGTCGTCGCAAGAAAAGAAATACAATTTTTATCTGTAATCTTAATGATTGAAAATTATGCGTGTTTTATAACAGAAATTAAAATATAATGTCAGTCACATATCCTGGCTGTAATACTATGTAATATCATTTTAGTTACAATCATATTAAACATACACAATATATAGTCGTTTAATTCCATTGTAGTCAGAGAAAGGTATAACTAACTTTTAAACGTACAATAGGACAATCTAACAAGCAATGAACTAACCAAATCAAAATGCCATTCCATCTTACGATATCAAGTCCAGTCTGTAGTGGAGGCCCGTTCCGCAAAGAGATCTTAGCTTTAGGAGGATCTTAGCCAATACTTTAAACATACGCTAACGGTAAGATTCCTTTTGTTGAACGAGGCCCAAATCTAGATTGCCTTTACAATCAGTCCAACAGCGAGGGCTTTCCTTTTACAACGTTCAAATAGTCAAACATCTCTGTGTCGAAGTACCAACATAAATTCCTCGAGTTATCCGAGGTTTGACACAACCGCAAAATGAAGAGAATAAAGTAATAATATACTACTCGCACTTTGCTAAGGATCACAACAATTCACAACTTTACTTAAACGTAGATTCATAATTTGAAATTGTATCCATTTAAAACTGGAAAAATAATAATATAGTAACACCTCTTTAGGCAAACAGTCACTTTAAGCTAACCTTATGCACTTGGTACATGAGTAACCATCAAAATGGTTTTCATGGCACCAATCAACCACTTTGCAAATCATGGAACGAGTCATTGACAAGTACACAACACCTGTCAGTTGCAGATATCGGTTCCACAAGATGAAATGACATACTGAAACCTAGGATCCATGCTTACAATAAGCTTAGATATTTAAACCGAATTTGACCCCACATCATAACTTTCTGTTGAATCCATGATTTGATCCTAAGCAAAGTGTGAATAGTACACATGGGGACCAAACATTTGCTTCGAGGTAACTGTCAGTTCGACATATCAGATCTCGACAGGGAGTTTGTATTGGCATAGTACTGACACACTCATGGTATACGTATTTCGTACACAACGGACTCAAATTTACAGATTTACATCTATAATCTATTCAAGAGAAAATATATATTTTAAAATATATTTCGATAATTTGTAAAAATTAAATTTCATAGCTTGTATACAGGAAGAAAGACTATTTTAAGGACAATATTAAACATTATGTATAGTTTCACCGGAAGTGTCTTAGGTTTCTTTGATAGGTGACTTAAGATGGTTAGATTTGATAGTCACTTCACATGTCGAGATCATAAGGACTATTTCTATTAAAAATGTGTACATGGCGTGTAATATTGTATATATTATATATACATGTATATTTAGTGTGAATGTTTGGGCGTGTATATTCTCAGTCCGCGATTTTGTGCTTACTTGATTTAAGTTATTGTTGTCATGAAATCGTTTTCTTTTGTAATTGTTGCGCAATACTGCCATAACTGCTCAACAAAATAAAATATACACTTAAAAATGGATTTGCCCCAAAATAACAATTTTCATTGAAACGTATCTCGTGTGAAAATATTGTTCACGCAAACTTAAGGTAAAAACGTAAATATGATACCTATATCACATACATCACCATTGAAATAAACAATTTTTGTTTTTTTTTCATTTTTAGCCATCAAATATGCATGTTTACTTTTCTCTTTCCAGCAGTTTATATCGTAGGTAATTCACAGAAATATAATTATTTTAAGGTGTTTCATCTGAATGTGTCATCGTTATGATTTATGTGTGTAAATGCCAATCACATATGAGCAGTTATTGCTATCGTTGGAGTTAAATGCATTTCTAAACTTTCATATGTAAGGTTTCTCTTATGTCGTATTTCTATCATATATATAGGCTATACTTTTATGTTGATTGTATCAAATACTGCCTACATAGCTGTTTTATACCAATACATGTATATATATTGTAAATACGTTGTTGATTTGTACTTGAATATAAAAAAGAAATAAAATGTGTACCGTTTGATATTTGTAAATTTACTGTTTATTGTACAATCAGCATGTTATAATGATCTTGACGAGGTGCTACCGAATTCCTGTGTTGATGTTAAATGTAGGGCGATGCGGTTGTCTGGTAGATAAGCGTTTGTTCGACCCGAATTCTACCCGTGAAGATCCGATTCTTCAGTAACCCATGCTTGTCGTAAGAGGCGACTAACGGGATCGGGTGGTCAGGCTCGCTGACTTGGTTGACACATGTCATCGTATCCCAATTGCGTAGAACTCTGATCATGCTATTGATCACTGGACTCGATTATTTACAGACCACCGCCATATAGCTTGAATATTGCTGAGCGCGGCGTAAAACTAAACTCACTCACTCGACCCGAGTTCGTTTCCCCACACAGGGTCAATATGTGATGCAGAATTCTGACGTCCCCGTTGTTAATTTATGGAAAAGTGATGAAAACGGTGTAAAAGTTTTTACATTCAGTCAAGCGAGACAGTGAGTTACTCCAGATACACCACGGCCTGGAGTTTGGGAATACACGTGATGCTAGTCCCCAGCGTTTACCGTTATGGTAAAACCCACGGACACGAATATGAGCGACTGAGCAATATTCCAGCTACATGGCGGCGGTCTGTAAATAATCCAGTCTGGACCAGACAATCCAGTGATCAACAGCATAGGCATCGATCTACGCAATTGGGATACGATGCCATGTGTCAACCAAGTCAGCGAGCCTGACCATCCGATCCCGTTAGTCGCCAGTTACGACAAGCATGGGTTGCTGAAGACCAATTTTTACCCGATCTTCACGGGTAATAACTGCTTGTCTAGCGCAGTGGGAACGTGATGTGTGACTTGGGATTTCTAGCACCCAGCAATATTCCAGCTATATGGCGGCGGTCTGTAAATAATGGAGTCTGAGCATCGATCTGCGCAATTGGGAACCGATGACATGTGTCAACCAAGTCAGCGAGCCTGACCACCCGATCCCGTTAGTCGCCTCTTACGACAAGCATGGGTTGCTGCAGATCAGTTCTAACCCAGATCTTCACGGGTTGAACACGAATATGATCTTGAAACTTATCAAGACAGACAACAGAGGAACCGGATCCGAAACCACCTCACTGAATCCTGCACAGCAAAGGGAAACAGCTCTGCAAAGCGAATGATCAAAGAGGCCCCATGTTGAATAAAGAAGGCATATCTATTTTGTTATACGATAGGAGTTGTCCGTCTCGATCAACTCACAGATAGGGGAAATACTATGGGAATACTGTGAAATATGGTCATAAATATTCATGGCCGGAAATAAAGTAAAACATCATCTGTGTGAGGGACTTGGTCCACATTTGAATCGGCCGCAAATTGTCGCGGAACAGACTATCCACTGTCTCTATGGCGAGGCGACACACAATGAAGATAGCTTGGATACTCTGGATCAAGGGTAATTCAAAATAAGCACCGTCTCACGTGTGGTCGAAGTTCTCAAGCCTGTGCTCGAATATATTGACGTTTTAGGTGACTGAAATAATTCACGGTGACATGAAATATACATTTAATGACATAGTGGAAGATTTAGTGCACAAAAATAATATTATAAGAAATAACACAACCATTACACTTAAAAAAATATTTAAAGAATTGATGAATTTCTTTTCAAACGCGTTACGCTACTTTTTTCAATCTTGAAATAGTTTCAGGTTTTCTTCATTTAAGATCTACGCCAAGCGTTGTATGTTGATGATATGGGTAGTCCTTTATGTCTAGGGAATAATAACCCGTTAGAATTGGTCTTCTGCAACCCATGCTTATCGCAAGAGATGAGTTGGTGGACACATGTCATCGTATCCATATAGATCGTAGTGCTCATGCTGTTGGTCACTGGATTTGTCTGGTCCCGATGGCGGTTATTTTTAGACCGCCGCCATATAGCTGCTATTAGCTTGAATGAGTGCGGCGTTAAAGAACAAACAAATCACTGAATATTAAGAACATTAAACAACAGGCATAAAAATACCCAACATTATTTCAACCCAATGTGATAAAATTAAATATTCATTAGGAGACGGTTTTTATTCTTTATTCTTCAAATCATTCATTACCAGTATGGATACAATTTGCAAAGTTCATTCACCTATCTATGGTGGCCAAGAAGGGCCATCGCTTTCTCGCCTTGATGTAAGTCCGCGAGAAAGACAGAAGCCCTTCTCGGCAACCCCAAGCACAGAGCTCTTGTAATGCAATCTTTCCTAATACAAATGTTCATGCACATTGAGTGGGAGTGAGTGAGTCAGGTTTCACGCTGCCTTTAGCAATATTCCAGCAATATCACAGAGGGTGAAAGAAGGAACTGGCTTGTACCCATGTGGAGGTCGAACCCAGGCCTCCAACGCGACGGGCGAATGGCTTAGTCACTGGGCTACCCACCGACCGCGATTGACTGTTAAACGAACAAGTCAGGACATCTTTAAAAGCTTATATTTATTCTAATATTTTTCAAAAAGAATTCAGATTAATTTAGTTGCACCGGTTCACCGATGCTCCTATTTCACAGGTATTCAAATAAGTATTACAGCCAGTTCTCACAAGAAACACAAACACAAAGCAATTGAAAAGAAACCATTCTACGTGGACTTAAACATCTTCGATAAAACATGATTTTATATGGTTGAGTCCCGAAAGGCTTTCTTTAAAAGCTAACCCTAAACTAATACCAGTCTATATGAAGCGCAAACAAAAATGTCTCCGTTGACAAACACGACAGGAGTCAACGGGCGTCAGCTCACGTAAACCACACCCGGGACAGTGACGGGAGTGTTGAGGACATCTGCTGGATGAACAAAGACATCTAGAAGTCACAGCGACCGTCCCTCCCCAAAATTTACTTTGATGTACAACAGAGGGCACAGATAAGGCATCAATGGACAAGTCAGTGGCTAAATATTGACACACGTTCTGCCGTTGTACACGTCCACGTTACGGCTTTATTGCCATGTCCTCTGTAATGGTCATCGTCCTTGACAACACCTGTCCGGTAATGGACAACAGGATGCTACTGTGTGATTTGGTCATTTTGAACTAACGTCCTTTTCTGGTGGATTTAGCTCTCTTTGAAGTTTGCCACCTCGAATCCTGTTCCCACACAAGAATGATATATTCAACTCACGAATGGAAAATTGATTTTCGAGGAGGCCACCCACATCCTAGACCTGGCTAATTATATGTAGCCTATTGAAATTTACCAAGTTTATCCCATAGGTATGCAACCATTGAATGTCCGTGTTAGAATTTATCTTCATAAACCCATGCTTGTCTCTGCCATTTATGTTAGTGAGTTTAGTTTTACGCCGCTTTTAGCAATATTCCAGCAATATCAAGGCGGGGCGCACCAGGAATGGGCGAAACACATTATACCTATGTGGGGAATCAAACCCGGGTTTTTGGCGTGAGGAGCGAACGCTTTAACCGCTAGGCTGCCCCACCGTTCACTGCCCTTAAAGACCCGTGTTGCAAATGG